AGAAGAAAGCCAGGACATTGTGAATCAAGTTCTTGATGAAATTGGAATTGAAATCTCTGGAAAGGTGAGAACAGCTTCTTTTCATAATGAGAACGGCTGTTGCCACTGTGGTCAGTTGCTTTGCTTGGCCCATTAATGCTACCTGCGTGGTTTTGGTGTGTGTCAGCAGAAAGTGCATTCTCTGTCCTCATTCAGATGCTTGCTAACTTTTTTTTCTCTCATTTTGTTTGGGATATAGATGGCCAAAGCTCCGTCAGCTGCCAGAAGCTTACCATCTGCCTCCACTTCAAAGGCTACAATCTCCGATGAAGAGATTGAACGGCAACTCAAAGCTCTAGGGGTGGATTAGATCAAGAAGCCATACTATTTCACTCTCTTACAATTATTTGATCTAAAGTGGGTCCGGTGTCGATTCCCTTTACAAACCATAGTCATTTTGCTACAAGGAAGACCATGAGTGAACAGTTGTGTCCTGACCCATGGCTATTTTGAATCTTTTGCCAAAGAATGCCAGTGATGAGAAAATGGGAACAGTTGGGTTGACTAGAACCGCTAAGGTCGATGATGTGTGCAAACTGAGTTCTTTTCTGCATGGCCTAGAGAAACGGTGTCATTACTTAGTGTCAGGGTGTGTGCTAAATCTTTCACACCGAAACCAGAGTTCTCTTTTCAGTGCCAGTAGGCGCCAACTTAAAGAGACTTGTAAAACATATTAAAGGTATATCGTTAATTCTGTATCTGTTGCTTGTCCTTTGTAGACAGTTATGTTAAGACCACAGGTGGTGCAGCTGCCAACTTATTTTTAAACATCTAAAGAAGAGTGCTATTTAAACATCTGTCTTAAAAACCGTCATGAGCTTTTACTTTTCTTCCATTTTTCCCCCTTTGGGAGAACATTCTAGTTGGTAAGTTTATTACCTTTCAAAATGTGCTTGGCACCTGCCTTAAATAGCACAAACATATTGTGCACATCTTTAAATTATTTTAACTGGCAAAAAAAGAATTACATTTTAAAGTAAAGTTGAGACTTAGAACAGTTACTCAAGCTGTCTTGTAAAGCTTATAAAAGCGAAGTGGGTATAATTAGCAAAATGAAGAAAGAAGACACTGAATTAATAACATTTTATAGTAATGAAACCACCCTTTCTTCCAAGAACTGAGACTTTCTCCATATAAATTATAACTTAGTCTGTGTTGAATTTTGAATTGTATTAATATACACATTAAACCCTCTAAATTGAAGCCATTCTTCTAAATGAAGTACTACTACTATGACGATACTTGACTTAGATTTCTAAAGTAAAAACATCTTTGTTTTGTTTTGTTTTTGGTAAATAAACTGCAACTTTGTCAGAAATTACTGCCTAAAGTGCATCATTGTTTTAGCAGTACTTTCAAAAGTAAGTTAGCTGTGTGATATGGAGAGCAGGAGAAAGGGGAGGATGCCACAGAGGTAGAAGTAGAAGTAGACTTAGGTTGTCTTGAAGAATGATGTTGTAATATATGGATTCTGACACATCCCAACACAGAAACTGTAGGAACTCCAATCAGTGTAAGCTGGCTAATCCCTAGGGATGGCCCTTTGGACTGTTGGATAACAAAGGCAGATACATACTGCAACTTTATCCTCGACACGGATATGTGCAAGGGGTAGAAGCTCCACCCTCTGCTTCAGAACCCACAACCATCGGAGAGTAGGCCTCAGTCCTGACGGTCTGAGGTGCACAATTCACGGTATCCCTGAGCGGGAATGAGTCCAGACATCATCGTACTGTATCATCGGGTGTTGCACCCAAACATGTTTTGGATGTACATAGTAATGCTGTCTAACCTAATTTACTTTCTTGTTTACATGTGGGAGCTTTGAGTTTTAAGATTATTTTGTCTGGGAAAAAAAAAAAAACTCAATAAAGATTTATTGCTCTTACCCATTTTTTCTTAACTCCTTTACTTTGTTTTTTATTGCTGTTAAGACTAGAAATTTTGCATATATCTAGTAGTTTAAACAGAATAATTTTTGCTATTTTTCTATAAGGAAGATTAGGTAGCTGTACTACTTAAATTTTATAAAATCACAGAAAATGCCTTTTTTTTAAGAACTGAAAGTTGTAACAGGATTGGTGTTTGCCAATGGGGCAAGCCCAACAACTAGTAGTTTCCAATGAAATGGACCTGATAATTTCTTTCCTGCAGTTTCCAAGACCTGAGCATTTCAGAGTTATATTTACAAATGTACAAGTATCAAATACTTACTTCTATTTTGTCAAATACAGATAGAGACCTTTGGACCCAAAATTGATAGTGAAATTATTCTGACTTGACTGAATTAATAAATGTTTTTTGGGGGCACATTACTATCATAGTAAATCTGTCAGTAACTTTGTTCTCCTTTAGAAATGGTGATTTTTATTGGTTGAACAAACCAGAAATCATTTTTTAAAATCTTTGTTTTTTAGTAGGATTTGTTTAGCATGGGCTTGCCAGTGGAAAAGGACCAGAGTAATATAGCAGTGTCGCTGCTTCAAAAAGGGGTCCATCCCAGGTCATGGATGGAGGAGACTTCAGAGTGCCAGAGGAATGTCATATAGTATGGACATGCTGGGGTTCTCCTTCTTCCTTGGGGATCGTTGGCCACCGGTCCACAGGAGTGGAGGGAGCAGAAGCTGGGAACGGGGTTCGGAGATGGCTGTGGATACAACGAAGAAGCCTCCGGAAGATGCCTTCAGCAAGACAACTCAAGGATATGGAATATATAAGCAGCAGTGGGGAAAACGTCTAGCAGGGAACTATGCCAATATCACGCTAGAGATAAGTCGAGCATCCAGGCCTAGAGACATCCTCCAAATAAGGGCAGGTAGAAAGAAGGAAACCTAGCTGGGGAGGGAGTCCTTCATGTTGCTGAGCTTGGAGAAAGCTGCCAGGACATGGTAGACTGCGGCCTCTGACCAACAGGGCCCCCCAACAACATGCCATTACAAATGATGACACTTGGTGTTAGGAAGCATGAAATGACCACGTGGCAGGCAGGTTGTGTTACACAGAGTGCAGTTAGTTGATGCTTGAAGGGAGTGCCTGGTGGGCAGGGCCTGGGTTAAAGCGGCTCAGAACTGAATTATATGAACCAGAGGGAAGAGTCCAGCTGTCTGTGGCATTATGTTACTTGACTTTTCACAGTCATTTATATTTTATTTCCCTTTGAATGTCCATAGAAACAGCCTTCCTTTGGTCAGATACATGCTCCCCACAAGCCCAATGTCTACATTTCTGGCCTGATTTCTATGTACTTAAGTTAAAATTACTCCGATTTAAGTTTAGCAAATTTGTCCAGGTCTGAAAAGAGATCTATAATTTTCGCCTTTTTACAAAAAGGTTTCTTGGCAGCAGAAATAGCTGAATTTTCCCATTTTGTCTTTGTAAAAGCTGAGTAAAATGATTCTTTTAACAACTTAATTCCTTTAAAAGAAGTATAAGAAGCCTAAGGATTGTGAAGCCTAAAGATTATGAAGTACCAACACAAATCCTCTCTTTTGCTTCAGACCTTGAAGGCACACACTTTCCCATCCCCAAACTCTGAAAATACTTTTAAAAAAAATCCTTTCCACCATTAGAGATAGAAGGTACATTGTATGAGTGTGTTTCTCAGCCATTTCTGTTAGGTACCGTTTAATGTTGGTATAAGCGATGAACCGATCCTTCCATTTTAATGATTTCCTGCTGGATTCCTAGAGCTATACACTGCGCTACCCACAGGACATGAAATAGAAAGTCTGTGTAGATGAAGTCAGCCTTTGATATTTCTTCCTCAGAATCTGATCAGTAAATTGTATTTGTCATTTCCTTAATAACAGTTT